TATTTAGCTCTATTTTGGCCCCAGGCTCGTTGGTTTGCTTCTTCATCTTTGAGAATATCATTAAAGGTCCGAGATTGACCACTTTTGAAGAATAAACACACTATACGAGCCATGGGCTGCGACCTCCTTTTGCCCTTTTTTTGAACTTTTTCTGAATGTCTTTGCTTGACTCCAAAGAGGCTTTAATGGACCATTCTTAGCTCATTTTAACTTTGTTGCCCTTAAATACACATAAACATAAATTAGGACTAAAACATGAAATTAAGATAGATGCAAAGACTGAAATACCCTAACTTAGGTGCTGAAATATGCAACATTTAAGCACTTATCACCAATGATTGAGAAACTGATTTCATCCTTTGCAATGCGATCGAAGAGCTGAAGGATTTGTGGAGATGCTGAAGATTGAGAGGCTGATTTCTGCAACGCAAGCTTGAGCCGAACCGAGCCCGAGCTCGTTCAAATATTGGCGAGCCGAGCTCGCCCTAGCCTGAGCAAGCCAAAGCTCGGCTCGGCTCATTTGCAACCCAACAAATCTGATTATTTATTGTTAGCATTTATGATACCACGATTTATGATATAACTTACCATAATAGTAGAGATTTGACTATGCATATTATAGCATATATATGATACCACGATTTATGGTATGACTTACCGTAATAGCAGAGATTTGACTATGCTATAGAATATGTCATAGAATATGCTTTAGAATAAGTTGTGATTTGATTTTGATTTGATTTAGTTTCCTTTCTTGTAATATGAGCATGTGCTCATTTTATCTATAAATACTAGAGTTGCGAATGAGTAATTCATCTCATTCAAGCCTTTACGCAATTCTCTCTTTTCTCTTCTTTTTATATATTTCGATTTGGTATCAGAGCCAACACCTTTCCACATATTTCAACAGCCTTGCTACTTGTGCGACAGCTACCTTAGGCTGGTTGTGACATCGTGTGACGTTGCCTACACATGTTTTTCTGTGTTGCTGTTTTGTGGTCGAAAATAGGTATTTTTAAGTTTTACAATTTATTTTTCACTCTTCTAGGGTTGGGTAAATTGGGATAGTTGGTTTCCAACACCTAGAAGGGCTTGGGTAAAAAAAAAATTTGTTTACAAAGAGGTTCTGAATATTAAGAAGGAGGCTGTCTGGCTATATGTAAGTGGGCAGCGCTCCTTAAAAAAGGTAAGTATTTGGATTTTTCGGGAATGGTCTGAGGAGACATTGTTTATGGTCTGAGGAGACCCTTTGATTTATTAACAGAATTTATGGTATTTTTGGAGTTCTTTTTTTTTATTTTTTATTGTCGTGTGACAGATTATGGCAGATTCAGGGTCCTCGACTGTTAATTCTCTTGACTCACATTTTGTGGGTGGTGGTGCCATTTTTCCCACCAACTCATCAAAAAATCCAGGACTTCAAATCACCACAGTGAAGTTGGATGGTTCCAACTATTTGATTTGGGCACAGTCTGCCAAGATGTTCATTGGTGGCAAAGGCAAGATTGGCTATATTACTGGTTTTGAGAAAGAGCCAGTTGAGTCAGAGAAGGCATATCCATAGTGGTTTGCAGATAACGCTATGGTTATATCTTGGCTAGTCAATTCGATGCAACCAAACATAGCTGTTGGCTATATGTTTATGAAGACTGCTAAGCAGATTTGTATTCAGTTCAACGCACTTATTCTCAAAGGCAGAATAATGCACGAATTTTCCAGCTGGGGCGAGATATCACCAGGATTTCTCAGGGTGACTTGACAGTTTCAGGTTACATCACCAAGCTTCGTGCTATTTGGGAGGAGATGTCATATTATGATTCCTTCCACTCTTGGAAGGATCCAGATGATGCAGTTTTATATGCAGGGATTGTGGAGAAGAATAGAGTGTTTCAGTTTCTTGCTGGCTTGAACGACGAGTTTGAGTATGCTCGTATTCATTTATTGGGCTTATCTTCATTCCCTACTCTTGAGGATGCATATTCCTATGTGTTGTTAGATGAGAGCCGCCGGACTCATCCATTAGGTGCTGCTTCTATTGATCGTTCTGCTATGGTAGTTCGGATTCCCAACCTTTCAGGAACTTCACCATCCCAGTTAGTTCAGAGCACTACCACCGGTCCTCCTCTGGGATGACAGCGTGGATGGTGTGACCATTGCAGAAAAATAGGTCACATCAAATCTCGTTGTTATGCTCTACATGGACGTCCACCGTAATAGAAACAACAACTTCGATCCTTTGCACATTCTGTTACACAACCAGTCTCGTTGTTAACTCCTAACAACCCTGCCTCTACATCTTCTGCCACAGTTACCTTGACTCAGGCTGATTTGGACAAGTTCAAGCAATTCTTCAACCAAATGGAGGCATCATCTCAGCCAACCTCCACTTATGCCCACTCAGGTACTATTGCGTCTACACATAGCGTATCTACATCTTCAACACCGTGGATCATTGATTCTGGTGCTTCAGACAATATGACTGGTATGTCCTCACTCTTCCAATCTTATAGCATCTGCTCTGGCCAATGCAAGGTCCGCCTTGCGGATGGTTCTCTATCTTCCATTGCTGGGAAGGGTCACATATCAGTTACTCCTTAATTAACTTTGTCAAATACACTTCATGTTCCAAAGTTGACTACAAATCTTATTTCTGTTAGTAGCGTTACTAAATAATTAAATTGTAGTGTAACTTTCTTTCCCTCTCATTGTATTTTTCAGGATCTGGTGTCGAAACGGATGATTGGTAGTGGGCGTGAAGTGGACGGTTTATACCTGTTGGATGTTCCTTTGTCGCCTCAAGCACATTCAGCTTCATTTTCTAATATTGTTTCATCTAATAAAGCCTAGCTTATGCATTGGCATATGCGTTTAGGACATATTTCTTTTGGTTATTTAAAACATTTATTTCCTTCCTTATTTTGTAACGTGGCAGTGTCAGATTTATCCTGTGAAAGATGTCATATGGTTAAACATATTCGTTCCAATTATCCTGCTAGTAGTAATAAATCTGCTTTAACACCTTTTGATCTTATTCATTCAGATGTGTGGGGTCCTTGCCCAGTTACTTCTAGTCTTGGATTTCGATATTTTGTGTTGTTCATTGATGATCATAGTCGTGTTACTTGGGTTTATTCTATGAAAACCAAAAATGAGGTATACACCATTTTTAAAAATTTTATGACAATGTTTCTGACTCAATATGGTCGTACAATTAAAAAATTCCGATCTGACCAGGGTACAGAGTACACTTATAGGGAGGTACAACGGTTATGTATAGAATTTGGGATTGAGCATTAGCTGGCTAATGTTAAAACTCCTCAATAGAATGGTCGTTCTGAGAGAAAGAATCGCCACATCCTTGACTTAGCTAGAGCAATCTGCATTGGTATGAATGTTCCCCAGTCATTTTGGGGAGATGCAGTTCTTACCACTATTTATATCATTAATATGACTCCTTTTAGGATTCTTAACTTTGCAGCCCCACTCTCAATCTTACATCCCAATTGATCTTTATTTTTGATTCCTCTGCGAGTCTTTAGGTGTGTGTGCTTTGTTCAACAATTGGGGCAAACTCGTACAAAGCTTGACCCCAAGGCTTTGAAGTGTTTGTTTTTAGGCTATTCTCACTCTCAAAAAGGTTATAGGTGTTACCATCCTCCCAGTCGTCGGCGGTTTATATCCATGGATGTTTCTTTCTTTGAGTATACACCATACTATAGTGGTTCAGTTGGTTCTCAGAGTGAATGGTTCCCATTGAATATAATGGATGATCACCTTCTTCCGTCTTCAACTCCTTTACTATTACCTATTTCTTCTTCTATAATTCCTCCTCGTGATACCCCTCCAGCAGGGGGAATTGTTCTTCTTTCACAGGTTTATAATCGGAGACAACAGGTACAAGCTTCTATTCCCACGATCGACTGCCCTGTTCCTTCGGCACCAGCTCCGCCTTCTCAAGCTATTGTTTCGCTTGATGATCGCCCTATTGTTTTTCGAAAGGATAAACGTTCTTGTACTTACCCTATTTCTAATTTTGTTTTTGATTATGCTCTCTCAACCTCCTATCGGAGTTTTCTTGTTTCTATTGCCTCGGTTCCTGTTCTTTCCAGTGCTGCAAATGCACTAGCACAACCTCAATGGCGTGATGCTATAACAGAAGAACTACGAGCGCTTGAGAAAAATCAAACTTGGGACATGGTTCTGCTTCCTATTGGATGAAAGGTTGTGGGCTGTCATTGGGTGTTTACAGTTAAGCATAATCCAGATAGGTCAGTTACTCGTTACAAGGCCCGATTGGTTGTCAAGGGTTATGCTCAGACTTATGACACAGATTATCAAAAGACTTTTGCCCCTGTTGCCAAGATGAATACCATCCGTGTATTATTTTCCGTTGCTGTAATTCGATCTTGGCCTCTATTTCAGTTAGATGCCAAGAATGCCATTCTTAATGGTGATTTGCAGGAGGAGGTGTACATGGTTCCTCCTTCGAGCTTTCATTCTCCTGCTCATTCTGGTATGGTATGTCGTCTTCGTCATTCTCTATATAACCTCAAGCAGTTTCCTCGAGCTTGGTCTGATCGCTTTGGCACTGTTATGCTCAAGTTTGGTTTCTATCAAAGTGCAGCTGATCATACCTTGTTTTTACTTCATTCAGGCGGTAAGACAGTTGCTCTTATTGTGTATGTCGATGATATTATTCTTACCGGCAATGATACTACCAGAATTAATGAGGTTAAGAGCTATCTTGGCCGTCAGTTTGAGATTAAGGATCTTGGTCCCCTACGGTACTTCTTGGGCATTGAGGTGGCTCGCTCCAAGATTGGCATTTTCATCTCTCAACGCAAGTATGTTCTGACTTGCTTTCTGCTTTTGGTCAGCTTGGCGCTCGTCCTGCTGATACTCCGATTGAGCAGAATCATCGGTTGGCTGATTCTGAGGGGGAGTTGTTGTCAAATATTGGTCAGTATCAATGACTTGTGGGGAAGCTCATCTATTTATCCATGACTCGACCTGACATTGCTTATGCCGTGAGTGTCGTGAGTCAATTCATGCACTCTCCTTGTGCCCCACACCTTGATTCAGCTATTCGGATTCTTCGCTACTTAAAAGTATGTCCAGGCCGTGGTATTTTGTTTGCTAATCATGGTCACTTACGTGTTGAGGCATGGACAGATGCTGATTATGCAGGATCAAATTCAGATAGGGGGTCTACTTCAGGTTATTGTACCACTATTGGTGGTAACTTGGTTACTTGGCACAGTAAGAAGCAGGATGTTGTCTCTCGATCTAGTGCAGAGGCAGAGTATAGGGCTATGGCTTTTGGGGTCGGTGAGTTGCTTTGGCTGAAAACCTTAATGACAGACTTGTGCCTTCTAGTGTCGCTTCCATTCTCACTTTACTATGACAACAAGTCTGCCATTAGCATAGCAGCAAATCCCGTTCAGCATGACAGGACTAAGCATATAGAGGTGGACCGTCACTTCATTCGAGAGAAGATCATCTCTGGTCAAATTTGCACTCCATTTGTCACAAGCTCTCAGCAGCTTGCAGACATTCTTACAAAGGGCGTTAGCAAGATGTGTTTGAGAATACATTGTCCAAGTTAGGCATTTCAGATATCCACGCACCAACTTGAGGGGGAGTGTTAGCATTTATGATATAACTTGCCATAATAGCAGAGATTTGACTATGCATATAATAGCATATATATGATACCACGATTTATGGTATGACTTACCATAATAGCAAAGATTTGACTATGCTATAAAATATGCCATAGAATATGCTTTAGAATAAGTTGTGATTTGATTTTGATTTGATTTAGTTTTCTTTCTTGTAATAGAGCTGTGAATGAGTAATTCATCTCATTCAATCCTTTACGCAATTCTCTCTTTTCTCTTCTTTTTATATATTTCTAGTTTTACTCTATTTTTTTATATATATTTTTATTATTTTATATTTTTCTGAATGTGATTTTTTTTTTCTATTTATTTAAAGTGAAAAATATTATTTAAAAATATATCATAATAGTACAAGAGAAATAATAAGCATATACTTCTAATAACAAAGAGCCCATAACAGGGCAAAACAAAACTGCAGCAACTATAAAGACAAACAACACTAATAACAACTCCAAACAAGCATAAGTTGCATAGCACATAACAACAAAAAAACAAATGAATCGAAGCTGACCCAATAGCACTAGAATGGACTGCAACACTAGAGCAGCAACAAAGCAGCACTGGAATGTGAAAATTTTAATTAAACAAAACATAATAAAGTACATCAAGTGTCAATAGTACTTTCAGCCACAAAAGGGTAAAATTTATACACATCCATAATCAAATGTCAATTACATCCATTCATATCCCAAAAGATTATTATATGTTCAAAAGTTTGCATGTTATGAAATATTTCGTGCCTTGAGTTTGCAGCCCTTAAAACACAAAGACTTGATAAGGATTACAATATTCCTTTTTCATCAAAAGGAACAGTTCCAATAAATTTGGACTTTAAAGTACTTGAGAGTTTCAAGAAAAGTATTGGCAAACCTCTCTTTCAATGGACTTTCTCATCGGCATTTCAAGATGCTTTTGAACCTAAAATAATGTCAAACATTAATAATTAGTAGTTAAGTGTGGAAATTCCAAGATAATTAGTTAGCAGCTTTAGTTAGTAGATTTTGTTAGTTTCAAATAAAGAGATGAAAGTAATTAGTATCCAAATCTCCAAGATTTCTGTTAGTTAGTTTCCTATTTTACTTCCTAGAATCAGGGAGTTGGTTAACCTAGTTGTGAAGGTTTCCTCTCCTATTTATTCTGGTAATTCACTTATTCCAAAGATAACAATAATAAAAATATCAGAGAAGTTTTTTTCTCCCATATATTTCTTTTATGGTATCAGAGCTGGGTGCTGAACCTCAAAAATTTCCATTGATGGTTAAGTACGGAATGACCATTGATAAAAACAGCACGTTCGACGCCTCTCCCAGCCCAGGACAAATCTCTCATGGCGGCCATGGCGGATCTGAAAATCTCGCACTGCCAATAACTGGGCAAAAGCTGAACGGACATAATTACCTTCAATGTGCTCAATCGGTGATGATGTTCATATCAGGAAAAGAAAAAGACGACTATCTCACCGGCGCTGCCATACCTCCTCAAAAGGAAGACCCAAAATTTTGAACTTGGAGATCAAAGAATAACATGTTGATGTTGTGGTTGATTAATACCATGGGCAATGAAATTGGGCAGAATTTCATGTTCTATGGGACTGTAAAAGAAATTTGGGATGCGACAAAGGAAACATACTCTGACAACGACAATACAGCAGAATTATTAGAGATTAAAAGCAGCCTTCATTACTGGCGACAAGGTGATCTTACTGTCACTCAATACTATAACACCTTTACCCGTTTTTGGCAACAATTGAATGTCTTTGAAGAACTCGACTGGGATAGCCCTGGAGATGCGGCCAAATACAGGGAAATAGTCGAGAAGGAGAGAGTCTCGAAACTCTTACTTGGGTTAAACAAAAACCTTGATGAAGTCAGGGAGAGAGTGTTCGGGATGAGGCCCTTGCCCTCAATTCGCGAAGCGTTTTCTGAGGTGCGTCGAGAAGAAAGTAGAAAGAAGATTATGATGGGAAATCAAAACATCCTAAGCGTTCCTATTATTCCAGAAAGCTCAGCTCTTGCAACCCGTGGAATGAATCCTACCAATGACAATCGAACCTGCAAAGGCAAGCCTTGGTGTGATCACTGTCACAAGCCTGGACATACCAAAGAAACATGCTGGAAAATTCATGGGAAGCCAGCCGACTGGAAGCCAAACAGACCATTTTAGGGCAGAGAAGGCCGTGGCTTTATAGCCTCCACAGATGAGCAACCAACAACCGAAACTTCACCCTTCAACAAGGAACAAATTGAGATGCTGTAGAAGATGTTAAGCCAACTTCAGTCAAGTCCTGCAACACCAGTCATCAGCACAGGTTCAGTAGCACAAAAAGGTACATTTCTAAGTGCTCTTGGAGTCAAAACCGAGAATAAAAATCTTGGATTATTGACTCTGGAGCATCTGACCACATGATTAGGGATACTTCCTTATTCTACAAGTACGTCCTTTGTTCTGAAAATTACAAAGTGAGAATAGCGGATGGTTCTCTGTCCACTGTAGCTGGTATTGGGTCAATTATCATCTCAAAGACCTTGGTTCTAAATTCAGTTTTGTTAGTTCCTAATCTGACCTGTAACTTGCTATCCATTAGCAAAATTACTAGAGATATGAATTGTGTTGCTAAATTCTTTCCCACTCATTGTGAATTTCAGGATTTGGATTCGGGGATGACGATTGGCAATGCTAAGGAAAGTGAAGGACCTCTTCAGGAGCGATAATCAACTTGAAAAACAATCTCAAAGTGTTCATTGTGTAAAGAGTCAATCTATTAGGAATTCCAATTCGGTTCCAGTTTCCAATAATGAAAGTGCAGTCATGTTGTGGCACTTTCGATTAGGTCACCTAAGTTTCATATACCTTGAAAAGTTGTTTCATACTTTATTCATTAATAAAAATTCAAAGTCCTTCCAGTGTGAAATTTGTCAATTGTCCAAACAGACTCAAAATTCTTATCCGATTCAACCATTAAGGAATCACATCCTTTTTCAGTTATACATAGCGATATTTGGGGACCTTCTCAAGTCAATAATATCACAGGAACCCGATGGTTTATCTCCTTTGTTGATGATCATTCTAGAATCACCTAGATATTTCTCATGAAAGAAAAATCTAAGACAGGACCAATTTTTAAAAAATTTCACTCAATGATCCAAACACAATTCCAAGCAAAAGTTCAGATTTTCAGAACTGACAATGCCAAGGAATACTTTCATTCTATTTTTAGGAATTACCTTCTTGATCATGGGATAGTTCATCAAAGTTCTTGCATAGACACCCCATAGCAAAATGGGATAGCCGAAAGGAAAAACTGGCACCTTTTAGAAGTTGCTCGATCTATTATGTTCACAAGTCATGTCCCTAAATATTTCTGGGGGAAAGCTGTCCTTACTGCTGCCCATCTCATTAATCGGATGCCTTCAAGAGTCTTGAAATTCCAAACTCCATGCCAAGTACTCACACAAGTCTACCCAAAATCCAGACTCATCTCATCCTTGCCACTAAAAGTCTTCGGTTGCTCAGCATTTGTCCACATACCACCTCATCAGAGGAGCAAAATGGATCCCAAAGCCTTAAAATGCCTATTCCTCAATAGATCCCAAATCCTTAAAATGCCTATTCTTTGGATACTCCTCTCACCAAAAAGGTTACAAATGCTACTCTCCCACTACTCGAAAGTTCTATAACACCATGGATGTAACTTTATTTGAGAATCAGCCTTTCTACTCCAAAACTCATATTTAGGGGGAGAATTCTATCCTGCTAGAAGAATATCAGTTTTGGCAAGATGTGGATATCTCCATGCCTTCCATCACCTTAAGTTCACTTACTCTGAGTAACACCACCATACCTCCAATTACGCCTATCCTACTTGAGTCAACATCCAAACCTGTTCATTCCGAACCCACTCTAAATAGTCCTTAGATTTTGACTCAACAAGAAAAATAAAAAATATTTAAAGGGATTGTTTACTCAAGAAAGTAGACAGCTCCAAAGGAGGTGGATCAACTCACTTTTCCTGAACAGAACCAAGCGTCCGCTTCAAATCTAGTCACTTCTACTCAAGGTAACACAAATTCTTATCCTAGTAATGATTTTGATATTCCTATTGCTCAAAGGAAAGGTGTTAGGTCATGCACTCGGCACCCGATCTCAAACTTTGTGACATATGAGAGACTGTCTCCCTGTTTTGGCGCTTTTACCTCGAATCTGTCCAGCATAGACATTCCAAGCTACATACAAGAAGCTCTAAAGCACCCTAAATGGAAGGAAGCAGTTAGTGAAAAAATTCAGGCTCTTATGAAGCATGGTACTTGGGAACTCACAGAACTTCCCAAAGACAAACAACCTGTGGGATGCAAGTGGATATTCAATGTTAAGTACAAGGCAGATGGAAGTGTTGACCGATATAAGGCGAGACTTGTAGCCAAGGGATTCACTCAAATCTACGGGATTGATTATCAAGAAACATTCGCTCCGGTTGCTAAGTTAAACACAGTTTGGGTTCTTCTCTCCTTGGCAGTCAATTTGGATTAGCCTCTTCATCAACTTGACGTCAAGAATGCATTCCTTAATGGAGACTTGGAAGATGAAGTCTACATGGAGATTCCTCCTGGTTTTGAGAACCCAAGCAATATCAACCGTGTTTGCAAACTTAGGAAATCTCTTTATGGCCTTAAGCAGTCACCTAGGGCCTGGTTTGAGAGATTTACCATAGCAGTCAAGAAGTATGGATACACTCAAGGCCAATCAGATCACACCTTATTTATCAAGAAGTCTCCTGAAGGGAAAATTACCATCCTTATTGTATATGTGGATGATATTATCTTGACAGGTGATAATAAAGAAGAGATAAGTCGGTTAAAGAGTACTCTTGCCAAAGGGTTTGAAATCAAGTATCTCGGTACATTGAGATATTTTCTTGGCATGGAAGTGGCTCGATCCAGCCATGGTATTTCTGTCTCTCAACGGAAGTATACGCTTAATTTGCTCAAAGAAACAGGTATGCTCGGTTGTAAGCCCTCAGAAACACCTATGGACCCTTCCAACAAACTTGACATGAAGGAGAGTTCTACTTCGATTGACAAAGGGAGGTACCAAAGATTGGTGTGGAAAACTCATTTACCTATCTCACATAAGACCGGGTATCAGTTTTCCTATCAGTGTGGTTAGTCAGTTTATGAACAATCTAACTAATGAACTTCTTGAAGCAGTTTACAGGAGTCTCAGATATCTCAAAAAGACTCCAGGGAAAGGGCTATTCTTCAAAAAGGGGACAGATCATAGCATGGAAATTTTCTCAGATGCCGACTGGGCAGGATCCCTAACTGACTGAAGATCTACCTCAGGCTATTGTTCCGATGTGTGGGGAAACCTTGTTACATGGAGAAGCAAGAAGCAGTCTGTAGTTGCTCGAAGCAGTGCTGAGGCTGAATTCAGGGCTATAGCACATGGAATATGTGAAGGAATGTGGCTCAAATGACTCCTAGAAGAACTGAAAATCCTTACTGAAAGTCCAATAAAGATGTTGTGTGAAAACCAAGCTGCTATTAGTATTGCTAAAAATCCAGTTCACCATGACAGAACTAAACATGTTGAGATTGATCGGCACTTCATCAAAGAAAAGATCGATCAGGGAGTCATCAAGATAATCTATACTCCTTCAGGTCTTCAAATCGCAGACATCCTCACCAAGGCTCTTAACCGAGATCACTTTGAAATCCTTCTTTTCAAGTTGGGAATGATTGATATATATTGCCCAGCTTGAGGGGGAGTGTGGAAATTCCAAGATAATTAGTTAGCAGATTTTCTTAGTTTCAAATAAAGAGATGAAGATAATTAGTATCCAAATCTCCAAGATTTCTGTTAGTTAGTTTCCTATTTTACTTCCTAGAATCAAGGAGTTAGTTAACCTAATTGTGAAGGTTTCCTCTCCTATTTATTCTGGTAATTCACTTATTCCAAAGATAACAATAATAAAAATATCAGAGAAGTTTTTTTCTACCATATATTTCTTTACTAAGAAATATTTCACAACATGATAAAGTACTTATGCAAGGCAACCAAAAGTCTAACCTCTTTTGATTTGTTGTATCTTCTTTTACTCCTTTTCTCAATCCCTTTTTTTTTAATTTATTTTTTATTTATTTATTTTTTTATCCTTTTAGGAGCTCCTTTCGTAATTGACACTTGTGGGTTACGCATCACTTTACTATCAACATTCTCTTTATCAAGATCAAGAGAACTATTAGGCTCTTTAAAGCCCTTAAAAGAATTATTAACCATCGCACATCTTTTCAAAGCTTCCTTGAAAGCATCATGTGCAATGTTATAACTCTTAAGGCATATTGATCCCTCCTCACTCAGTGGGTTCTTGATGTAGGTCATTAAAGGGTTGTTTCTTCAAACGAACATCTTTTGGAATGCTTTTAATGGTATTAACACTTTTTGCATCTTTAGTTCATCTCCTTAAGATGTATTGAAATGGGATGTCAAGAACACCAAAAGATTGG